CTGAGCTTTTCCAGTAGGGCAATAATTGATACCTAGATATTGGTACTGCAGGGTTGTGGCTGCCTTTTAAATTGTTAAAGAAAACTGAAATTGTATCTAGGTTCAGTGTTAAAAATATCACTTTCCATTCAAATTTTTTGATAATTAGTAATTCCACTTGAGTGTGAACGAGTCATACCGTCTTACTAACCAGATTAATGGGATAAGCAAATCTGAGAATTACCCATTTACCAAACAAGAGCTTCCTATAGAATTTTCTAGATAAAAGGCAGGTATTTTTTCTGAAGAAAAGCAATGAAGTCATTAATTGTGTAGCATTTTAGTTTTCTTAAAGTAAAAAGTTAAAGGAGGAGTTCAGTGGTTTTGCATACATAGATTTTATTTCTTAACAATTCTGTTTGGCCTCTTGGAAGGTCTGAGTGACTTTAGGTGGAATAACCGGATCTGTTTGCTCCTGAGGAGCAGGCGTGAGTTCCCTAAGAAAAGCCTGAGAGACAGATGGCTGGCTATTATGTTACAACCATCATCTGCTGGGCCATGAGCAAATATTAAGTGAATAATATATATGTAATTGGTGTGAAAGTACAGTTGCAACATTTCTAATTGTGTTTGAAGGATGGGGACTTCTTGAACATTTGTATTTCATAAAATACTATTTTGAAATGTTTTTTGTTTACAGGGTTAATACATTTTAAACTATTTTAAAGTGAACATTTTCCCTCATTTTTGACACCCCTGTGCGATATTTTGAATTGAAATGGCCTGTAATGGCCCTTTTTTTTTTATTTTCCATAACAACACGAGCACTAAATTATAGCTGTGCAATTATGTAAACAATGGAAATGCTTCAAGAATGAATCCTTCCTTTTAAATTTTCATTTTGTGTAATTGTTGGAAGGTTTGGAACCATAATAAACAAAATTATTTTACACATTTATCGTTCTAAAGGTCAATTATAAGAGAACTAAAGAAACAACACTATGCAAAATGAATAAACCAATTTCTGTTGCCATCACCATATGTTTTTTCTTATCACTTATGGTTTTTCCAGTTACTGTGTACATAGCATTCAATTAAAGCGATTCATTTACCAGGCTGAATGTGGTTTGTGTTTATAGAACTGTGCTTTGGAGGAGAGGAAACAACACGCCTCTATTTGAATTACCTGATTTTTTGTAAGATCAGTGATAAGAAACAGATGTTCTCACCAGTTACTTTCTCATAAACCTAAATCTTTTGATAAGCTACAAATTCACAATTATCTTTTTACAATCTAGTTTTCCAACTCTGTGTGTAGCATGTTTGTGAACTTTCAACCAAAAACAAGAAAAAAAAATACTAGTTTTGTGGTCTGCTTACTGTATAACAGCATTTTAAAGAATGAGTTTTATTTCCCTTGAAGAAAAGCTTATGAAAGAGTTTTATCTATGTTTTAAACCAGTGAATTTTCAAGAGTAAACAATTCCTACTTTTCATTGAGCTTATGGTTTATGTATTATTTTTTAGTCTGTTTAGAGTGTGAAAAAGAAACTAATTTTTGCTACTGGAATCACTTGTACAGGGTAAATAGAAGAATGGAACCTAGAAAATATATAAAGATCATTTTCCTGTTGGTTTTTTTTTTTTTTTCACATACACTATGGCTGACTGTTGTAATGCTTTGCTACCGATGTTACTTGAAAGCATTACTTTTGCTAGAGTGTTTTAATTTCTAGGATAATGTAATCTAAGACACTCGTGGCATCTTTGAAATGTTTTTAAATGTTCTTTCTAAATATCAGCAAAATGATAACTCATAGAATTCTGCAAAGTAAATTTTAGAAAGTAAAATCTTTCATAGTCTATTTTTGAAAAAAAATTTTTTTTACTTGTCACTCTTTACTTCTATATGGCCCTTTTTATTTTACAGAGGCATGTGTTCACATGTACCATACCATTAGATACCGCTCTGTAAAAGGAAATCATCCCATTTAGTGGAAGGGAAATGTAAAGCCCCAGGCATGACACAATCTGTTGATCACATATACTAAGCCTTGAACTGGTCTCAGTTCTAGAGAGACATTTCCTGCTGGTGGTCACAATGGAGGTGGTACTGAATAGCGTCAAATTGTACAGTGGGAATAATGGCCCCTTTCCTATCCTTTGACTCTCCTGGGTATTTTCTGCTTACAACACAGGATACTCATTTTCCATAATAATCTTAAATTCAAAAAAGCCATTTACTTTGAAAACAGACAAATAATATTCACTGTGAATGTGGATATGACAATAGTCAGCGAGGTTGTACATGAATGATAGACGTTTGGGAATTAGTGTTCTTTGCTATCTATATATAAAGCCCTGGAGACTGTGAAGAAGGTTTCAGAGTCTCAAGATTTTTATTTTTCCAAAGATTCCATTTTATAGCTACGATCTTAATGTATCTAGGGGAAGGTGAAAATAGGAGTCTACCAGAAATGAGTGGAGCATTTTCTGGATGTCTCTCTATTGGGAATATACAGCTGCTCTCTTTTGAGTGCCACACAGTTATTCCTAATTTTAAAATGTTACCACAAAGATAAAATCATTGGGTTTTTTCATTATAGTGTAGATAAGCAAAATAAGCAGGCACATGGGCATAATTTGGCAGACTGGCCATAAATTTCCCTGTTTAACCCACACATTAACCTACTCCAGTGCCATCTTTAACTGGCCACAGCAGTACAGGCCCTGCTTTTCCTTAGGGCTCTGTCTTATGTGGGTGGCAGGGCAGGGTAGGCTAGCCATCTGTTACTTTGCTCTCTCTTTCCAATCTTCTTGCCCATAGAAACAGGTTCCGTTGAAGTAACTGGCCAAGGTCCAGGGGTATGGGGAGCCGTGTGACTTTACCTTAGCTACAATGTATTTCTGCTGTCTTTAGCGTCAATGCCAATCTAGTAATTTTTCGTGAAAGCCCCATTTACATATCATTGCCGCTATACATAAGAATCTCATAAAGCAAAATGGATTTCATTTATAAATTTTGGCTTTTGCTTATTAAAGTATTTAGTTCATAATTACCATAAACTCATCCCAGAAAAACATTTTTAAGTTAAAATTCTAAATACCAGTTGTGAAAATGGCATATTTGATATAAGTATGGGCTAAAGATATTAAAAATCTATAGTGTTCAAGGCTTAGTTCCTCATCTCAACAGATGGAATTAACACTATAAACATAATAAAGTTAACATCATGGTTGTTTGCATTATTAATCTTCAAATGCATGGCATTCTACTACCTTGCTAGCCAGGTTTGCACGAATCCTTTCATTGCAGCATATGTCAACAGAAATGTGCTTCCATCTGCTGCTGGATAGCTTGATGCCTGATATTCTGAGACAAGGCCCAGCACAATGCGTACCTCTGTGAGTAATTACAGGTGTGTGGTGGGGAGCCCAGGGCATTAATCAGAGGCTTAATTATGAAGAAGGTGGATCTTTTGTTCCACGCTTGGAGCATGAGTTTACCACACACTTTTTAAACTGTAGCATCCATCTGCTAAGCCCCTTAGAATGTTTGTCTTGGCTGATATGGACCCTAAAGTGTATCAAAGGACATGATTAAAGCAGGTTTAAACATTAACTTGGAAGAAGTGGTTCAGGATTTTCTTTCCTTCCTTCCTTCACTTTATCTATCTCTCTATCTACATATTTATTTTTGTGTACAGGTAAAAGTCTGCTGAAATTCTAAAACTTTAAATTAGGATTTGCTGTACTATTTATCATACATGAGCAATAATGGGGTAAGCATGGGACCAGTTGATTTAAGCATATAAACAGCACGATTTGTAGAAACAAAAATGAATCCAATATATAAGGGAAAAATAAGTTTTAAATAAATGTTTTATAAACACAGAAATTCTCTTTTTAGATAAGAAGTGAGAATATTTTGATTACAAAAGACTTAATGTTAGAATTCAGCATGTTGCTATTACTTTGCTTTAATTTAATCAAATTAAATTGAGATGATTTTGAAGGATTTTTGAAACAGCCACACTGAAATCTGAAAAAAGAAACAGAATTCTTTTTTGTATTTTGTTTTTTGTATTTTGAGGCTGACTATAGGTTGTATAACTACAAGTAGCATAACTATAGTACATTAGCATTTTTGACTAATGTTTATTGCTTTGAACTACATAAACGTAGTTTTGGGTTTTCTTACTAATCCCCCTTGCACGCACACACTTTTACAGATGGTTTCATAAATGTGGCCTGATCATGGGTGGCATGAATGTTGTCCAGTGGAATCCTGGTCTGGTCTACCACAGACTGAATGGTGTGACTGCCTCAGAACAGAGCTGGTGGGCGGGGGCCAGCTAGCCACTCACCAGTGAGAGGCTGTTCTAAATACAGGAATACCAGGTATCTGGGCAGTTGGTGTTCTTCACACGGCGCACTGTGAGAGAAAGGCTACTGCTGCACTTTTTTATGTGTACCTCGCAATCACATTTACACTCAGAGCCACACCAACTACCTGACCTTAGAATATGACCAATCAGAATACTACCATAGAACTCCATACATTCCTATTGTTTAACACATGAAATTACATGAAGAGTAAAAATCTCTATCCCTTTGCCTGCCTTAAGATTTTTTAACATAACAGTATGTTTAACTTTTGAAAACTGAGGAATATGCAAAGTGATAGATATTAAAAGGTTTTATTTGTATATTTACCTTAACACTCCTGTAGCTTGTCCAAGGAGCTCACCTTTAGGTGGAAGGCATAAGTGTCTAAGCTCAATGTCACAATTTAGATTTTGGACAAGTCATCTTAGAGTTTAGTGTCCCAATTCTCTTATATGTAAAATGGATACAATAGCCCTTGGTCTAACTCATCTCTGAGTACCCCTTTTACTGAGAACTTTCTGTAATTTGTGTACTCTTAAGATTTTCATATAGTGGATATATAGAGACTAATCGACTCTTTGGAATTTTGTTCTTGAAAATTACAGTTGTGCTTTTTTTCTCTTCCCTTTTAGGATATCTTAAATACCATTATAAGGCACTGTCCACCCCGTTTTTTTTCCCTGGGTTTGCCTGGCTTTTCAATGCTGGTGGGGGACTTTATCACGGCTGCTGCCAGGGTCCTCGCTACAGACATGCTGGCGGTGAGTATGACAATGCTCAGCATCCAAACTCCCAGGAGGCTTCACAATCGCTAACAAGGTTCAGATTTCTCCACTCTTAACAGGTGTTGACTCATTAGTGCAATGTGAAACTGGGCTCTCGGGTAGATGCCCTGGCAGCTGATGTGTGAAATTGTAGGGTAAGATGACACACCGGTATTGGAAAGGCGTTTCATCAAAAGGCCAAAGTGTGAAAAATCATATCCTCACTAATATTTCAGCACACTTACACAGTGAGAAGCAGGACTTGTCTCTTAGAATCTTATTATCATTTTCTAGTAAATGGTGGCACAGACTTAGATGTATATAATAAAGAAATAATTTTAAGTGACCATTATCAATAATGTTTTTTTCATTATTGCCTTGTTTATTAGAAGTCTAGTAGGAAATATTTCCTTAAAATGTGAGAACATAAAGAGATGTCTGGGATAAGGACAGAATTTTAAGTGTACATTATCGATATTTTTTCATTATAGTCTCAGTTATTAGAAGTCTAGTAGAAAATATTTTTAAATGTTAGAAAACTAACATTTTAACCAGACAGTGAATATATATTTTGTTAATGTGTAGAATTCTTGTACTAAAATAGTGGAAGCCAGAGGACTGACTAAATGGGTATTAAGAGCTTAAAAAAGAATTTATTTGCATTTTCCACATTAATCTCCACTTTCCGAACAATGTATTAATGCCTCTTGAGAGAACACTCTTTTTTTTTTTAAATTAATTTATTTATATTTCCAAATACATTTGTCTCCTCCTTCCCCCCACGACTTTCCCCTGCATCTCTCCCCACTCTACCTTCCTCAATCCTTCCCCATTTTGGCTTTCTCCATGAGTCCTTGCTATATGTTCCTTGACTTGCCCCTTCCCGTCCTTTTCCCCCCGCCCATCCCTCCCTCCTTCCCTCTTGTCTCTGTTGATTTCTTTTTCTTTCAGTGTTGCTGGTCTTATTTTCCTTGCATCTTTGTTTTGTTGGTTAGGTTCCACTTATATATGAGATAATATGGTATTTGTCATTGGCCCCTTGGCTTATTGTGCTTAGCATAATGCTCTCTAGTTCCATCCATGCTGTCGCAAAGTGTACTAGTTCTTTTTTCTTTCTGCTGCGTAGTATTCCACTGTGTAAATTTACCATAATTTCTTTTTTCAGGGACAGATTTTCTTTTTTTTTTAAATTAATTCATTTATTTTTTCAAATATATTTGTCTCTGCCTACCCCCCACCACTTTCCCTTGCTCCCTCCCTCCCTCAACACTTCCCCTTCAGTTTCTTCCATGAGTCCTTGCTATGTTCTTTCACTTTCCTCTTCCCTTCCTTTTCCCCCACCCCCCTCCCTCCTTCCCTCTTGTCTGTTGGTTTCTTTTCCTTTCAGTATTGCTGGTCTTATTTTCCTTGCATCTTTGTATTGTTGGTTAGATTCCACTTACCAGTGAGATCATATGGTATTTGTCTTTCGCCCCCTGGCTTATTGTGCTTAGCATAATGCTCTTGAGTTCCATCCATGCTGTCGCGAAGTGTAATAGTTCTTTTTTTCTTTGTGCTGCGTAGTTTTCCGTTGTGTAAATGTACCATACTTTTTTGATCCAATCATCTACTGATGGGCATTTAGGTTGCTTCCAACACTTGGATATTGTAAATTGTGCTGCTATGAACATTGGGGTGCATAGGTTCTTTTGAATTGACGTTTTGGTATTCTTAGGGTATAGTCCCAGCAGGGGAATCACTGGATCAAAAGGCAGTTCCATTTTCAGCTTTTTGAGGAAATTCCACACTGCTTTCCACAGTGGCTGCACCAGCCTGCATTCCCACCAACAGTGTACTAGGGTTCCCTTTTCTCCAGAGCCTCGCCAGCACCTATTGTTTGTTGATCTGTTTATGATGGCAATTCTGACAAGTGTGAGGTGGTACCTCATGGTGTTTTTGATCTGCATTTCTCTGATGGCTAATGATGCCGAGCATCCTTTCAAGTGTCTCTGGGCCCTCTGGATCTCTTCCTTGGAAACGCGTCTGCCCAGGTCCTTTACCCATTTTTTGATTGGATCATTTGTCTTCTTGGAGTGGAGTCAAGTGAGTTCTTCATATATCTTGGAGATCAAACCTCTATCTGATGTATCATTAGCAAATATATTTTCCCATACGGTTGGCTCCCTTTTCATGTTGCTGATGTTTTCTTTAGCCGTGCAGAAGCTTCTTATTTTGATGAGGTGCCACTTGTTTGTTCTTTCCTTTATGTCCCTTGCTTTAGGAGACATATCAATGAAAAAATTGCTGCGTGGGATATCTGAGAGTTTCCTGCCAATGTTTTCCTCTAGGAATTTTATGGTGTGGCGACTTATATTTAAGTCTTTTATCCATCTTCAGTTTATTTTTGTGTATGGTGTCAGCTGATGATCCAATTTCAATTTTGTGCATGTAGCCGTCCAGCTCTCCCAACACCATTTGTTGAAGAGGCTATTATTGCTCCATTTTGTGCTTCTGCCCCCTTTGTCAAATATTAGATGCCCATATAGACCTGGGTTTATTTCTGGGCTTTCTATTCTGTTCCACTGGTCTATGGGTCTGATCTCGTGCCAGTACCAAATTGTTTTGAGTATAGTGGCTTTGTAGTTTAGTTGGATGTCCAGTATTGTGATCCCTCCTACTTAATTTTTCTTTCTCAAAATTGCTGCAGCTATTCAGGGTCGTTTATGGTTCCATATAAATTTTTGAAATGTCTGTTCTATTTCTGTGAAATATGATACTGGTATTTCATTAAGGATTGCATTGAATCTCTGAATTGCTTTGGGTAGTATGGGCATTTTGATGATATTAATTCTGCCAGTCCATGAGCACGGTATATGCTTCCATTTATTTGTGTCTTCCTTAATTTCTTTTTTCAATGTTATATAGTTTTCTGCATACAGGTCTTTTGCCTCCTTGGTTAAATTTATTCCTAGGTACTTTATTTTCCTTGTTGCTATATTGAATGGTATTTTTCTGATTTCTTCTTCTTCTATTTCATTGCTGGTGTACAAAAATGCCTTTGATTTCTGAATATTGACTTTGTATCCTACCATTTTGCCAATTTCACTTATTAGGCTGAGAAGTTTTTTAGCAGACTCTACAGGGTTTTCTATGTACACTATCATGTCATCTGCAAACAATGATAGCTTTCCTTCCTCCTTTCCTATTTGGATGCCTTTTATTTCTTTTTCTTGTCTGACCACTGTAGCTACGGCTTCCAATACGATGTTGAAAAGAAGTGGTGAAAGCAGACATCCTTGTCATGTTCTCGATCTTAGTGGGAAAGCTTTTAGTTTTTGTCCATTGAGTATCATGTTGTTTTTCATATATGGTCTTTATTATGTTGAGGAATGCCCCATTTATTCCCAGTTTGCTGAGTGTTTTGATCATAAATGGGTTCTGTACCTTATCAAATGCTTTTTCTGGGTCTATCGAGATGATCATGTGGTTTTTGTCTTTTCTTTTATTTATGTGACGTATTATGTTTATTGATTTGCATATATTGAACCATCCCTGCATGCCTGGGATGAATCCCACTTGATTGTGGTGGATAATCTTTTTAATGTATTGCTGGATGCGGTTTGCCAATATTTTCTTGAGGATTTTAGCATCTATGTTCATCAGCAAAATTGGCCTGTAGTTTTCTTTCTTTCTAGGGTCTTTATCTTGTTTTGGGATCCGGGTGATGCTGGCCTCATAGAATGAGTTTGGGAGACTTACCTCCTCTTGGATTTTTTGGAATAGTCTGAGAAGAGCAGGGGTTAGCTCGTCCTTAAATGTTTTGTAAAATCCTCCTGTGAAACTGTCCGGCCCAGGACTTTTGTGTGCCGGGAGTTTCTTGATTACTGCTTCAATTTCCCCAGTTGTAATCGGTCTGTTCAAGCTTTCTGTTTCTTCCTTCTTCAGTGTTGGAAGATTATACTTTTCTAGAAATGTGTCCATTTCATCGAGGTTTTCCTATTTAGGTGTTAGGTCTTTATTTGAAATGTTTCTGTCTCTTTAAGGTAAGCCTGTATTGCTATGAACTTCCTTCTAACGACTGCCTTTGCTGGGTCCCATAGGTTTTGGACTGATGTATGTTCATTTTCATTTGTTTCCAGGAACTTTTTTATTTCTTATCTCATTGTTGACCCATTCATTGTTTAATAGTCTACTGTTCAATCTCCATGAGTTTGCAAGTTTTTGAAGTTTCTCTTTGAGGTTGATTTCCAGTTTCAAGCCTTTGTGGTCCGAGCAAAAGCTTAGTGTTATTTCAATTTTCCTGAATTTGCTGAGCTTGCTTTGTGTCCTATCATGTAGTCTATCTTTGAAAAAGTTCCATGCCCATTTGAAAAGAATGTGTATTTTTCTTCTTTGGGATGTAAGGTTCTATATATGTCAGTTAAGTCTATTTTATTCAGTGCATCATTGAGCTCCACAATATCCATGTTGATGTTTTCTTTGGGAGATCTGTCCATTTTTGACAGTGGGGTGTTGAAATCCCCTACTGTCAGTGTGTTGCTGTCTACATCTTTTTTGATATCCTCCAAGATTTTCCTTATGTATTTGGGTGCTCCTATGTTGTGTGCATATAAGTTTACAATGTTGATGTCTTCTGGATTGATTCTTCCTTTAAGTATTATAAAGTGTCCCTCTGGGTCTCTTTTTATGGCCTTTGTTTTGAAATCTATTTTGTCTGATATGAGTATTGCTACCCCTGCTTTCTTTTCTTGCCCATTTGCTTGGAATATTTTTTTCCATCCCTTTACTTTCAATCTGTGTAGGTCTTTTGTTCTGAGGAGGGTCTCTTGTAGGCAGCATATGTTTGGGTCATGTTTTCTTATCCATTCAGCTATCCTGTGTCTTTTGATTGGGGCATTTAGTCCATATACATTGACAGTTATTATTGATAGAAACTTGTTCATTTTTTCTCTTTGTACCTGTGTTTTCTCTTTCTCACTCTTTTCCTTCGTCTTCTTTAATCAGTCCCTTTAGAATAT